AGACTTATTTATTTTATTTTATTTTTATGTAATTATTGCGTTTGTTTAAACAATGTACATTGACTTTGAAACCTATGTTGTTCGACAACACTTGTGACATGCCAGTATGATATTTAGACTTAATGAGTTTTGTTGATACTGGAATTAATATAGACTACAACACTCTTGCATTTTGCAGGATATCAGTATACTTTTTGATTGGAATCAACGTAAAGCAATTTAGAGATGTCCAATGTATTTAATGCATCCTTATATAGAGCTCATTAGGGTTACCTTTTCATGAATCACATTCCAACCAGATTCAATTAAGTAATGCAGTTCTTCTCGTTATTCTCTTCATAACCACTTTCTTTCGTTTTCCTGATGCACCCCTTCCACCCCACCCCCCCTCCCCCACCCCCTGATTTCTTCTTCTTCTCTTTGTCTGTTATACTATCAAACTATATGTAACAGTGCCGTCCTACTGCCAGGTTTATTAATAAGGAGACGAATTAATATGTACTTATGTACTTGTTTTCGAATCCTCTTTGTTGATTTTGTATTATTTTGTCACTGCCATTTATTGAATAAAATACTGTTTAAACTAAATTACCATGTGATAACAAATGTCTAATAAAATCTAATTAAATTACATTCCACTAAAGTACACGCATATATTGGATATTTCTTTAATAAGGGTAGTTGTGCTAGTTTGGCGGAATGATATTGAGATGTGACACTTAGCTCAGTGCAAAGCACCAGGAAGTAAAATTAGATAAGTATGACCTACTTAACTCGTGTATTTAAAAACGTTAGTTCTATATACCGACAGAACATTAATATACTGTCCTCATTTAAAATCGTTTTCTGGTCAAAATAATGACCAAGAAACACGTCATAAAAGTCATATAACTCTACACATGATTACTTTAATGGTTAAAATATATATAAAAAAGGAATCTAATTTTGCTTTTTAATGTACATTTTTTCCTTTTCTGTTTTACACTTTTCTTATAACATACTGGACCAGGGACAGTATATAGAGTACCCACTATACGTCCCTGACTGGACAGACTAATTAATTATGTTTTAGGGATATAGAAGGAATGGTTTGTATCTCAACTCTTACATTGTAATTGTTTTGAAATGACTGACATCGTCGAGTAGTTTATAAGATTACGTACAGTATATAGGAACATTTCAATGATTAAATGAATTATACATACGACGTAACCCCACAGATAGCTACGAAGAACCATTACAATACCAGAGATGAAAGTGTTTGAGATGTTAAGCAAACTGATTTTACATTACACTGTTGTATAGTAAAACGTCAATACAAACAACACCGTATGTATAGCATATATGTGTGATCTTATTGTGCGAGCCCCAACACAAATGTCACACTCTGTTATGTCGTGTTTCCGCTACAGAAAGATGTATCACCAGTTACATGTTTAATGCATTTGATTACCACTGGACTCCTGCTGTTGACTATACAGACTGGCTGCCACCCTTATAAAACAGACAGGAGAGCGACACTCACCCAGAAGGAATCCACAAACTTTGGTGTCCTGGTCATCTTAGGCGTGGTACCCTGCTAATAATCGTTAACACATGTTACACACGGAGTAAAATGCCAGCCCTCGAGCGAAACCCGGAAGTTACAATACACTAAAGTCTTGTTTCGTTTTGACAGCCTACAAGACAAGGTCCGTTGATATCGAGGTTACAGACGGTGATTACACAGGTATGACTTGTGTGTGGAATTTTACCTGTATGTTATCGTCTCTCGAAATGAAATCTGCAGTGCTAAACTTTTCAAAGTAAATCTTAACTAAGACATAATGCATATGTAAAATAAATATCATATGTAAAATAAATATCATATGTAAAATAAATATCATATCTGAAAAACGAAGCTCCCATGTGATTTTCTAAGACTTGCGGTACAATTCATTTTACACATGTTTATGTGATTTTAATAGATGCCATTTTTGATTTTAAGTTAATTAAGCTGACTACGTGGAGTATGAATATGAAGAGACAAGTTGATTACACCTGTACATTTCGCGTTTGACTAACTCCTACTGTTGATACACTGTCTGGATTGTTTACATATCATCCCTATCTAATCCGGGCCACCGTGTCAGGGCAGTATATCATTAGATGTCTGTCAGAAAACGCGTCACGTGTACAATTTAACCAAGCATTGTTAGCTTAATCTAAAGCTGGCGTATTGTTTTCATTAGTTCTTAGCCAGATGTGTCACGTATAACTTAAACAATGGTAAACAACATATTACGTATATTGAGAGATTTCGAATAACAAAAATACTGATATTTCCATGAATGAAACCATAATAACATTTTTGATTGATGCTATGTGTACTCTGACAAGCTGACAACACTTTGTACGAGTACATAAAGCTATATATAGACTTTATATAGACGCATCCACACCTGTACACGTATATTGTAGCAAGGCATGGTACACTATAGCTACCAGTAACATAGATAACAATGACAGGACGGTGTCACCATCAGAGTTAGCTCCGATATAAAGCGGGTTTAATATTTATCATCTTTTCTATTCTAGTATAAACAGCATAGTCTGGTACGACCCAGTTCATCAGCGTTTCTGTCACATTTACATTGTATTTTTATGGTTGGTTAAATAGAAATTGTCGTCAACATTATATACCACCACGATACCTTATAAAGCCTACTTACTGTACGTGTGTGAGGAGAGCAGGTTCACACCACCACAATACCTTATACAGCCTGCCGTACGTGTGTGTTAGGAAAGCAGGTTCACACCACCACAATACCGTATACAGCCTACCGTACGTGTGTGTTAGGAGAGCAGATTCACACAACCCCAATACCGTATACAGCCTACTGTACGTGTGTGTGAAGAGAGCAGGTTCACACCACCACAATACCGTATACAGCCTACTGTTCGTGTGTGTGAGGAGAGCAGGTTCACACCACCCAGATACCGTATACAGCCTACTGTACGTGTGTGTTTGGAGAGCAGGTTCACACCACCACAATACCGTATACAGCCTACTGTTCGTGTGTGTGAGGAGAGCAGGTTCACTCCACCACAGTACCATATACAGCCTACCGTACGCGTGCGTTAGGAGAGCAGATTCACACAACCCCACTACCGTATACAGCCTACCGTTCGTGTGTGTGAGGAGAGCAGGCTCACACCACCCAGATACCGCATACAGCCTACTGTACGTGGGTGTTAGGAGAGCAGGTTCACTCCACCACACTACCATATACAGCCTACCGTACGTGTGTATGAGACCACCCCGATACCGTATACAGGCTACCGTACGTGTGTGTGAAGAGAGCAGGTTCACACCCCCACAATGCCGTATACAGCCTACTGTACGTGTGTGTTAGGAGAGCAGGTTCACTCCACCACACTACCATATACAGCCTACCGTACGTGTGTGTTAGGAGAGCAGATTCACACAACCCCAATACCGTATACAGCCTACTGTACGTGTGTGTGAAGAGAGCAGATTCACACCACCACAATACCGTGTACAGCATACCGTACGTGTGTGTTAGGAGAGCAGATTCACACCACCCCGATACCGTATACAGCCTACCGTACGTGTGTGT